AAAAAGTGCTTCAAACTTTAGTTTTATGATTATATTTCAGACAGTTCATTCAAATGATACATTAATGAGACTTTTATTCATTATATTTTTGTTAACATTTTAGTCAAACACTATATTTGCCTTTTTCTCCTTAAACAACTTTCAGATGTAATCCTGGTTTCGATGTGACGGGTCAGAAACAGAAGCACCAAAAGCTCTTGTTTCATCATCAGCATGCATGAGTTGACCAAGCACCATGGTCCTGAACCGTGTGTTCAGGGCTGGTGTYGTTAGAAATCTGCTTTATTTTGGACTTTGATGTCAAATATAACGTCTGCTTTACTGTCTTTTTGGTTTCTCCAAGACATRAAGGCCACAGTTGGTTAACATCCACAGGGCTTTTTGTACTCATGCAGCAAAACAACAAATCTGATGTTCTGACAGGAGCTGGTGGAGCAGGTCCTCTGGATGGGTCCGTTTTGGAAGAAAAGCTCTCTCCTCTGAGACGTCTTCAGTCTTTCTTCAGATGTTTTCAGTAAGAAGAGGACAGAGAAGCTGTGTTTTTTTAGAGTTTTCTACMTGGGTTACTGAGCTGCACCAGGATGTTCTGAACCACTTCAACCAGGTGGAGAAGGGAGTTCTTCCAGAGCCTGGGGGCCACAGAGGAGAAGGACCGGTCACCACGGGTCTTAAAGTGAGTGAGGGGAACCATAAGGAGACGTTGATCCTGTGAGTGGAGGTCTCCTCTGGGGTTGTAAGGTGAAATGAGACGTTTAATGTATTCAGGTGCTTGGCCATGAAGAGCTCTGAAGGTGAGGACCAGGATTTTGGACCAGAAACCAGTGAAGTTCTGCTGGGATCGGGGAGATGTGGGTGAATCTGGAGGTTCAGGTTAGGAGTCTTACTGCTGAGTTTTGGACAAACTGAAGATGATTTAACTGTTTCTGGTTAAGACAGGTGAACAAGCTGTTACAATAGTCTGAGCAGGTAGGAATGAAGGCATGAACACAACCAAGTGTTTTCTGTAAGTTTAAAGGTGTTTTGTTATTTATCTTGTCTGAATGGTGAATGTGTGTGGTGCAGTCAGGTGTCCTCACTGCGTGCAGRCTCCTCCTCCTCACATCAGGACAGCTCACAGATAACCAGTCCTCAGAGGCTTTAAGTGCAGAGCTGTGCAGAAAGTTCTGCAGTGCTGCCCTCTGAGCACCTTTCCTCCAACAAATCTGCAGTTCACACTCTTTCATCAGCGTGACCAGAGCTCGATTGGCTCCAGTTTGCTTCCAGCACTTGACAGAATGAGCTCCAGAGCACTGAAGTTTTTTTATYATCCCAGCAGAGGGCATCGGCCTCGCTCCCCGGCTGCCAGGATGATGAGAAGCTGCCTGCAGTTCCTCATCGAGCCAGCCAAGAAGCTGAAGATCCGACTCAAGGTGTGTGACTGACTGCGTCTGGTAGAACCAGGTTAAATCTGTGCTCCAGAGGTGTCACTAGGCCTATTTTAGGGGGGCTGGAGCCCCCCGAAAATATTTTAAAGCCCCCCTAAATTATTTTGGTGTAAAAACTTGTTTTAATTTTTTACAAAAATTCAATATGATGTGATCAGAATAAATAACCATTTAATATTTCATTATTAACTAAAATATATGATCATAAATCTGTCAGTTTCCCTTTAATTTATAAAGTAAGGCAGAGATCCTCTTTGGTGCGTTGTTATTCAATCCATTCCACTT